ATGAAAATGCCATCGAAACTTTTCTGAAGACAGTCAATTCCCTTCAGAGATACATTCATATAAAACACCCGCGCCGTGTTTTGATTTTGAAACGTGCAGTGCTCGTGTTTATTCAACGAAGTCAAACGGCACAAATAAATCAATGTATGGGAAACTGGTAATGTATATCGAAATATCGGAAATATGTTTAAAAATCATATCACCGTTATTGAAAAAAAATATATCGCGATACATATTGATATTGAATTATTGTCCAGCCCTACTCTTCAACTTTGATAATAATAAGAAATGTTCCTTGAGCACCAAATCAGCATATTAGAATGATTTCTGAAGGATCATGCGACACTGAAGACTGGAGTAATGATGCTGAAAATTCAGCTTTGCCATCACAAGAATAAACAACATTTTAAAATATAAAACAATTAGTTTAAATTGCAAAAAATATTTCCTAATATTACCATTGCTACTGTACTTTTATCAAATGCATCCTTGGTGAGGACAATAGTTCTTTAATAACTTTTTTAACTTTTTTAATGGTAGTGTGTCTATCGATAAATATATGTATATGTAAACATATGTATCTACATATGTAAATAAATGTATGTAATATATGGTGGCCATAGCCAGAAGAGGGCACTCACTTAAAAGTATCAACAGCAGGCCAGAGAGAACTAAGGCAAGGATTCCCAAACTTCCCAAAGAGGAAGAGGCACTCCGAGCCCCACATATTCCCAACCCATTGTCCTCCCTCTCACAAGTGCACACTCGCACATCCATGGTCTGCTCTTTCCCGAATCCCTGCAGATCCTTCACCAAGAGAGGAACACTGTAGAGACCGTTGGGCATGGCCACAGCCTGTTCCAGCACCACAGAGGAACCTGCATCAGAGGAGGAAAGACATGATGTCTGTGATCATACTGCAACACTTTCAGTTTATCAGCCTTTGTTTGTTTTTGCTATATTGAGAAATGATTCAAATAAAAAAAATAAAAAAAAAAGTAGATAAACCCCCAGCCCTAAGAAACATCAATGCCCTCTATCCTTACCTGTAGTATCCTTCAGTTTCCACTTCCCATCATGATCTGCTCCAAGTTCGAAGATGAAGGGAGTAGAGTAAGGTGGCTTGTCCATGTCCACGGCTTCAACCAGAACAGAGCTCAGCGTATCGCCCTTACTACACATGATCAGGTCTTTGCCCGGAATCACAGGGATGTTATCATTCACGTCTTCGATCTGGATTATAACCATCCCTTTTCCTGTCTTCTTACCTGAGGAAAGAGAGATTCCAGTGAGCTTCATGTAGCTTTAGAGAAACAAATTGCCAGAATACAACTGGCTTACAATGCACAATTTTATCTCTCACAACCATGACTTTAATTCTCATAATCGTGACAACTGTGACTTTATATCTAATAATTGCAACTTTATATCTCACAACTGTAACCCTTTTTTTCATAATTATGACAACTTTATCACAATTGCGACTTTCTTACATAATTTGCTTCTCATAATTGTCTATTAATCTCTTTATTGCAACTTTTTCATAACTACAACTACATCTCATAATTGCGACTTTATATCTCACAATTGTGACATCTCATAATTGCTTCTACATCTCACAATTGCAATGTTGTCACAATTGTGACTACATATGTCATAATTGTGACTTTATATCTCACAATTGCGACTACATCTCAGAACTGAGACTGTATATCTCACAATTGTGACGACATATCTCACAAACACAACTTTATATTTCATAGCTGCAAACTTACTTCTCATAATTGTGACTTTATATCTCAGTTGCAACTTTCTTACAAATATAGCTTCACATCTCATAAATGCGTTTTTTATCTCTTAATTGAAACTCTCATAAATGCAATTTTCTAACTCACAATTGCGACTACATCTCATATTTGTGACTTAATATCTCACAATTGTGACTACATCTAAGAACTGAAACTGTATATGTAACAATTGTGAGATATTTCACAAATGCAGCTTTATATTTCATAGCTGCAACCCCATAATTTTGACAACTTTCTCACAATTGCAACTTTCTAACAAATATAGCTTCACACTAAATGCGCCTTTTTATCTCTTAATTGCAGCTTCCTCATAACTGTGACTTTAGAGTATATTATAATTGCAACTACATCTCAATTGCAATTTTATATTTCACAGTTGCAATATCTCATAATCGTGAGTGACTTTATATCTCACAACTGTGACTTCACATCTCACGATTGTGACTTTTTAAATAGTATGTGAAATTGTGACAATTTCTTTGTCTCAAAATCCTCCTTTTTTGAAACAGGTTTTACATACATGCATACGTTTGTGATCAGTTTCTCAAAAGCTATGTCCAACTACACAGACCTCCAATAAAATTAGGGCAGCAAGAACGCCCATTAGCAGTGAAAACATTGCAGCCTGGTGACGTCCAAAGATAAAAATCACGTGTAAAAGGTGCATAAGAGTTAAAGAGGGACAAATGTACTCAGTTCTTCCTGGAATGCCATTCAACAACATTCAGTGTTTAGAACATGTACTGTCAGGTAGGACATGTTGATCATCATCAAAAAGACATGTTACATCACACCACAAAATCCTGAAATATTCGCAGAGGCCTGAAGCTATTTCTACCCAACCAAATGCAAATGGTCTTTCATTAACAGCCAGAGAAAACACACACACACACACACACACACACACACACACACACACACAGTGTGCACACAAAAACA